GGCTTCTCCGACTGATGCCCAAACTGATGCCCCAACTGATGCCCCAACTGAGGCTCCAACTGAAGCTCCAACTGAAGCCCCAACTGAAGCTCCAACTGAAGCTCCAACTGAAGCCCCAACCGAGGTCCCAACTGAAGCTCCAACTGAAGCCCCAACCGAGGCCCCAACTGAGGCTCCAACTGAGGCCCCAACTGAAGCCCCAACTGAAGCTCCAACTACGGCCCCAACTACGGTCACAACTACGGCCACAACTAAGGCCCCAACTAAGCACTGGCACCGAGGAAACGGGCACCCAGGAAACGGGAAGCACGGAAAAGGGAAGCACGGAAAAGGGAAGCACGGAAACGGGAAGCACGGAAAAGGGAAGCCAGAAAAAGAGCGGAAAGGAAAACAGGAAAAGGACATGAAGAAGAATCAGAAACAAAAGGGCGGCCAGTAGGAAAGCTGCCGAGAAGAAACGTCAGAACCGCAAAGAAAAGAAAAATGATCTTAACGAGGTAAAAGTTTTCAATTTGAAAGTTGAAAAAAATGATCTGTTAAAATTTTTATGTTTTTAAACCCAGTAAATACAATAAATCCTTATAGTGCATTCCAAAAGCCATTTTAAGACATATTTTATTTTAGTTTATAATTTGTTGTTAAAATATAAAGCCATAAATAGGGTGTCTAAAGCGACGATAGCGAATAAAAACAAGAGAGAACGGTAAAGTCGAGTGCCTCGACTATTAGATACCCGTTACTCAGCTAAAAAAGTTCAAATTATCAATTTGAATTTGGCGATCTCTTAGAGCTGGCAGCTTTACAGCACGAGCATCAGCACCAGCGCTGCTTTAGCGCAGGCAGCTTTTGTCCTGCACCAGCAGCTGTGTTTATGTTTATGTTTTTGAGTGCAATAAATTGACTAGAAATATTAAACATACATATGTACTTATATTGGATAAACACATACATTCTTAAATAGTATTATGTATATTAAAGTCTAAATGTTTGCACAACACGAGTAACGGGTATAGCGAATAGCTTTCTTTGAAAGGAGTTATCTTTGCCGGGCAATTGCAACTGTGTACAATGTAAATACATACATATGTATATGCTTACATACATACACACATACGCCATTGTTTGACTCAGACCTCCAATTTGGCTAACTTGATTTGATTTGCATAGTTCTTGGGATATAGTTCGGTATTGACAAATGAAAACCATCGCAATTTCCTTTAATATAAATCCTTATCGAGAATTAACGTTGACTCTGTTGATCACCTTGGCCAGCTGTTCCAAAGTCATCCGTTAGATGGCGCTACCACGGGTCATGAAAGGCGGAAATGTAGGCGCTAGCCAGGCTAAGCGTTTAATAGGTTTTTGGGCGTTAGAGTGGGCGTGGCAAACTTTTATTAGGCAAATCGATAGGTATTGACGAAACAAATACATATCAATTAAAATTTTCATAATAGCATCAAAACTGTGGCCACAGCTTGTGGCTTGTGGGCGTCAGAGGGGGCGTGGCACCAGTTTGAAACAAACTTGCGCTGCGTAGGAACTCCTAAAATCTACATGCAAAATGCCAATCTTCTAGCTTTTATAGTTTCCGAGATCTCAGCGTTCATACGGACAGACAGACGGACAGACAGGCGGAGAGACGGACAGACGGACAGACGGACATGGCTAGATCGACTCGGCTAGTGATCCTGAACAAGAATATATATACTTTATAGGGTCGGAAACGCTTCCTTCTAGCTGTTACATACTTTTGCACGAATACAATATACCCTTTTACTTTACGAGTAACGGGTATAACAATTATACCACAAAACAATATCATACTCACATCTTCAATGCAGTGATTTGGCGGGATGCAGATTGTAAACTGAAAAGAGATTCAGAATTTTGGACTCTTTAGATATTTGTTAACAGTTGTACCACAACATTAGACATTGAAATAAATCCCAGACACAGCAGCAGACAGCTTGATATATCCATGCCTTTACCGTGCGATGATCAGCTCAGACTCAGCTAATTCAAAATCAGAAATGGTCAGCGGATCACAATATAAATGATTCATTGTTCTCGCTTCGCTTCGGTGTAAGATGTGACGTCATGATAATTATAAAATTAAAAAAAAAAACTATGCACTAGCAAACAATTGAAGAGCTGGGCAAATCTCATTTAATTTGTATTAAAATATATTCACTCAAATGAGTGATTTTAACTCGCTGATAGCAATTTGGAGCAATTCTATCAACGCATATTTTTAGCTGAAACACATTTATTTACTCCCCGTTCTACGCAAATATACTAATTGGAAATATATTTGTGTCTAACAAAAAGCAAGCTGCATAAATTCGGATCTATTCAGAAAAGATCTAAGCAAACAGTTATCGTTCAGCTATATAAGGCGATGCATCTACAACTGAAAATTATTACACATAAGATGTATACACCTCGCTGCAAGCATAAGATGAGGGCTTTCTTTTTGTGGAGCTTGTTGTTTTTGGTCATTTTTGGGGTGGCTTCTCCGACTGAAGTCTTAACAGAAGCCCCAACTGTGACCCCAACTGAGTCTCTAACTGAAGCTTCAACTGCGGCCCCAACTGTGGCTTCAACTGAAACTCCAACTGCGGCCCCAACTGATGCCCCAACTGAGGCCCCAACTGCGGCCCCAACTGTGACCCCAACTGAGTCTCTAACTGAAGCTTCAACTGCGGCTCCAACTGAGGCTACAACTGAAGCTCCAACTACGGCCCCAACTACGGTCACAACTCCGGCCCCAACTACAGTCACAACTCCGGTCACAACGCCGGCCCCAACTACGGTCACAACTCCGGCTCCAACTACGACCCTAACTACGGCCCCAACTAAGGACACAGCTAAGGACACAGCTAAGGACCCAACTGCACCCACCACTGCGGCCCCAACTACGGCCCAAACTAAAAAACCTAAAAAACCTAAAAAACTTAAAAAACCTAAAAAACCTAAAAAGCCTAAAAAAAATCTAAAAAACCTAAAAAAAGCTTAAAAAGTTAAAAAACCTAAAAAGATTAAAAGATAAAGAAGATCTAAAAGCTAAAATAACGGACCCCAAGGAAAAGAGACCCAGTAGGACAGCTGACGAGAGTGGACGTCAGAAGCGCAAGGAATAGAAAAATCGACCCGTCCATTGGTAATCTTAACGAGGTAAAAGTTTTTAATTTGAAAGTTGAAAAAAATGATCTTTTAAAATTTGTATGCTTTTAATCTCAGTAAATACAATAAATCCTAACAGTGCATTTCAAAACCCATTTTAAGACATATTTTATTTTAGTTTATATTTTGTTGTTAAAATATAAAGCCATAAATAGGGTGTCTCAAGCGACAAAAGCGGATAAAAAATAGTCTGCACAAAATCGCCAATGTATTTTAAAGAATTTTATATCTCCCTCCTAAAAACACTCAGTTGTTCGCCAATATCTGACCCAATCGCGGTGAGTGCTGCGCAAACAATCCGGACAAATAACAAAAAATTCGACAGGAACAGCTGGATAATTTTGGGAGTAGTTTTTAGATGGAGCACCATCTGTCAATACCATCAATCAATAGCCTGATATAAACATTTGGACTATCATCTTCCTGCACGATTTTTAAGACAAATCATCACAATGGACATAGAGAAACAACTGTTGTGTAAATTTGCTAGTATTCTTTGACTCCACTTCGAACCCATAAGATTGAATCACTATATAAGCCCGTGTCATCACCCGAGAAAACTATTAGCAGCAAAATGAGAGTTACATCGATCCTCTTGTGTGGAATCGTTTCGGTGCACAGTTAATCCCACCGACGCAGAGTGCATGAAAGAGGCAGAGACGACCCGCACTTCGTCAAGAACAGACACCACGGCGACAACGACGACGAAAGCAGAATCCACCACTCCAGCAGGACCCACCACAGCAACCTCATCGGTCGGTCCAGTCGCTCCAGCTCCGATCAGCTTATCCAAAAAACAGTTCTAGTGACTGAAGCGCGGCCGCCAGAAGGAAGAGGAGGGCGGCCCGGAAAGGGGCTCAAAGGAGGCGTGCCCAAAGGAGAAGTGCCGCACACTAAAGAAGGATTCAAAGCCTTTCATTTGAATTCCAATTTTTTACCTTTTTGTATTGGGTTTGCCGACCTTTGCCTATATTTAATGTCTTCTATAACACAACGTTGTGTTGGTTATTTTTAAACTAAATAAAATACATTTATAGAACTTCACTAGTTAATTACAAAATATTTTCATTGACTTCTTCTGAACTAGGACGAAATCTCTGCAAAAAAATGTTAAACCAAATTGGTCATGTGCAAGGTAACTATTTGTACATCACATAAAACCACCTTCAACCTATAATGGAGAAACTAGTCATATTGTGGGTACATAGTCAACAACAAACAGCGTTCAAGGCGATTGTCGCCAAAAGTGTTCTAACTCGATAATTCTATAACGAAAATCTGCTTCTTCTAACAAAAAATACACTGAGGGAAAAATCAATACATATCTAAGAAACAAAATTCTAGAGCATAAATGATTTAAACTCACAGTAATGTATTATTAATAGTTATAATGTGATTTAAGGTAATGTGATTTAATTATAAATTAAAACAAATGGTTTTTTTTTTTAATTTATAAATAAATCGATTTATAAACTCTTTTTGTGAATTAAAGTTTACTCGAAATTGTATTACTTAATTAAATTAAAAAAAAAACTTTAATACAAAACGTGAAGCAAATACATTTTTGGAAGAAATTTGTTTAACTAGATCGTTTCATCTCCGTAAGTAGTTATATCTTTGTCAGCCAATAGTTGGCGAATTCTGAGCAAACAATCTGGGAGTCTACATACATATCTAAACAAACTATGTAGAAACAGCTGCGTACATTTGGCCTATAGTCCTTGAATGAGAAGAGCACCTGTGATCGACCCGCTATAAAAGCCTTTCCAAACTCCGACATCACCACCAATCAACAATCCCCAACCAGCAAACCCACAATGAGAGCCGCCACAATCAGCTGCGCCATCTTCGTCCTGGCAACCTGCCTTTTGAGGAGCAGTGAGGCGGTGACCTGCACCGCTGACCCCACCGTCACTGGCTGCATCAACTGCACCACCGATCCCACAAACGCAGAATGCGTGGCCGAGGCCGCCACCACCACCACCACCACCACCTCAACCACTGTGGCGCCATCCACGAGTTCCAGCACCTCCGCCACGCCCAGCAGTTCCTCCGGAAACGGCAAGATTGTGCGTATAACCGACCTGAACTACTCCGTCTCCCGTCGCATCCACCTCAGCACCACTACACGCTCCACCAACCGCAGTGGCAGGAACAATCGTCGGCGCAACACCAATACCAACAAGAACCGCAACCAGAGACGCAATAACAACAATGGCAGGCGTGGCAACAACAGTAGCCGACGTGGTAACGGAAATGTCCGTGTTGTGGCTGTTTAGAAATTAAGGTCTCTGAGAAAATTGTTAATCAAAGTAATAAAGTTGAAGAAAAATGTAAATACACATATTTGGATTTCTTACTCTAATTAAAGAAAGACGAAGTTTAAATACCCCTGCAGCTGTTAAAAAATTTAAATACTTTATATTATATTTCGATTTCGATGCGTAAAACACATTGGATATATTTTCCGATATAGTCGTCCGATTTTTATAAAACCTAAATTCTGAGATCGACGACATTAATATATCTCAGAATTGGTATATGTTAGCATCCGTATCCTACATTATATTAATTATTTAATAAATACCCATTTAAATACTTCATTAAATGCCATTTGATCAAAAGAAATACTCGGATCTCTTCCAAATTCGTATGATTAATCTATGTAGTTTCCATTGGAAACGCTCAGGATGATTCACAAGAGTGTAATGTTTTACGTATTATAGTCTAAAATCAATTATTATTGATCAACAGCCAATTCTTAATAAAAACAAGAAAGGAAAACTAACTTCGGGCGGAGCCGAAGTTGATATACCCTTGCAGAATACTCTGTAAATTATATTCTCCAAAATTATTCATATGATGCATTCTTAATACTCATAAAAAGTCCCAACTTCCTAACTTTAAAAACACCAAAGTTATGGCATTTCCGACCAATCAGTTATATGGCGGCTATAGGATATAGTCGTCCGATCCTTATGAAATTCGGTAGGTCGGATTAATTGGCCAAAAATAAATCTCATAGAAAATCCCAACTTCCTAACTTTAAAAACACCAACGTTATGGCATTTCCGACCAATCAGTTATATGGCGGCTATAGGATATAGTCGTCCGATCCGAAATTCGGTAGGTCGGATTAATTGGCCAAAAATAAATCTCATAGAAAATCCCAACTTCCTAACTTTAAAAACACCAACGTTATGGCTTTTCCGATCGTTCACTTATATGGCAGCTATATGATATAGTCGCCCGATCCGGCTCGTTCCGACTTATATACTACCTGCAATAGAAAGACAACTTTTGGGAAAGTTTCAAGCAGATAGCTTTAAAACTGAGGGACTAGTTTGTGTAGAAACGGACGGTCAGACGGACAGACGTAGGGGGGACGGACGGACAGACGGACATGGCTAGATCGACTCTCCTGGTGATGCTGATCAAGAATATATATACTTTATAGGGTCGGAAATGTCTCCTTCACTGCGTTGCAAACTTATGACTGAAATTATAATACCCTCTGCAAGGGTATAAAAAAACGTGTCTTAATAAATAAAATTTCGAATTCCGTTTTAACATATATATTAGATATTTAATACAAAACAACTGATTGCCAAAAAGTATGCTGTACAGCATACTAAGTATTTCTATCGGAATATTGACACAGTTGTTTAAAATTGAACCATGTTTTTATTATGTTTGCTGTGAAATTAACTATGATTGCCTTAGAAAGTAATTTGTATTTGTGTTTTGTTAGAGGAAAGGTGGCATTATGCAACTTTATAAGAGGTTAATACTCCTTAACCCAAAGCATTCACATATTTTTGAGTTCAGAACTATTACTGTTTTTATACCCTTGCTCCTCCTCCTGAGTTGATATAAGCATGTCCGTCTGTCTGTTTCTACGCAAATTAGTCTCTCAGTTTTAAAGATACCGAATTGAAACTTTGCACACACCCTTCTTTCCTTTGCACGCAGTATATAAGTCGGAACGGGATCGGCCGACTATATCCTATAGCTGCCATATAACTGATTGATCGGAAATGCCATAACTTTGGTATTTGTAAAGTTAGGAAGCTAAGATTTTCTATGGGTTTTGTATTTTTCCAATCAATCTGACCTACCAAATTTTATAAGAATCGGCCGACTATATCCTCTAGCTGCCATATAACTGATTGATCAGAAATGCCATAACTTTGGTGTTTGTAAAGTTAGGAAGTTGGGATTTTCTATAGGTTTTATATTTGGCCAATCAATCCGACCTTCCACATTTCATAAGGATCTGCCGACTATATCCTATAGCTGCCATATAACTGAACGATTGGAAATGCCATAACTTTGGTGTTTGTAAAGTTAGGAAGTTGGGATTTTTATGAGTATTAAGAATGCATCATATGAATAATTTTGGAGAATATAATTTACAGAATATTCTGCAAGGGTATATCAACTTCGGCTCCGCCCGAAGTTAGCTTTCCTTTCTTGTTTGTGGTGAATGTTGTAAAATATTTAAAACATTTTTTATTATAAACGTACTTTTAGCCTTAGTGAGTTTCGAAACATCAAATTAAAATATTTAAAAATTATTAATTTTTAAATTCAATTTTTATAAAATTAAATATATAAAAATGATTAATTTCAAAATTAGAAGAAACAGTCAGACTTAAACTAATTATATCCCCACCTTTTTCTAGCACGTATAAAACACTGCTAAATGCTTAGCTTTCAAAATATTTGATACTTTTAACAAGTATTTATTTTCTTGATAATTTAATTGGAATCCACACACCTAAACGACTATGACGCGAATGTTTCCGTTGCCCCTCCTCACGTTGCCACGTTTTGAATTTTTTCTGCGCCTTTGGTTGCGGAGAGTGTTGCCAGTGGTGGAGCTTCCCCTTTTCACGCGGATGCGACGTTTGGATTTATAGTATACATTGCTCATACGAATGATCTTCCGCTTTCTTGAGGACTTAGTGGTGGCCACTGTACTGTTTGATGTCGCCGTATCGGTTGCCACAGTGGTTGTGGTCGTTGTGGTCGTTGTGGTGGTGGTGGCTGCGGCTTCGGCCACGCACTCAGCATCCGTGGGATTGTCGGTGCAGTTAATGCAGCCAGTGACGGTGGGATCAGCGGTACAGGTCACCGCCTCACTGCTCCTCAGAAGACAAGCCGTCAGGACAAAGACGACGGTTAGGATGCTGACTGCTCTCATCGTGGGATTTATGGTTGCGGCTTGCAGATTGATGGCGGGCATCGGGTTTTATAGGCGTTCAATTCCCGGGTCTTTCGCAGTCAAAGATTATTGGCAAATTTACGCAGCTGGTTCTTATTCTTTTTGCATTATTTTCTTTGCTTGTTTGCAGAGAATTTGCAAAAATGATCGGTTAGAAAAATATTTAATTAAATATTGTTTGAAGAGAGATAGAAAATGTATACCAATTTTTATAAGTTTTTCTAAGTGTTACGCAATAAATCAATTGAAAAACAAATTGAAAAATAACAAATTCCATCTATGAATTACATAACTAGAACCTGTTAAAAATTGAAATAAAGAAAAATATTTATTTATATTTTATATTTATTCATATTTATGTATTGAGAATTGCTAAAGTTGTAATTTCTGTTTTGCATTTTCTGCTAAGTTAGTTCTGTTAAAATAATGTTAAGAAATAGATAAAAGGTAAACAATGCAAGTAAGTCTTATAATAATTTACTCCAAAATGGTAATGTAAAATTTCAATGGGCCGTTTTAACTAAAGGCGCCCAAAATCAGGCAATAAAAACTTCACCATCTGGCTTAAGAGTTTCTTAGCATTCAGCTTTCGTCCACCCTGTGCCGTTCTAGACTCTAGATCTTGAGCCAGAACTTCTGCTTGTCTAATCTCAATAATATGATGGGGTTCTTATTAAACCAACTAATGTCTTAACAAAAATTAAAGAAAAGAGTATATAAATAAAAGCTTTTTGTCCAATTGACGTTGTATTTTGACAGCTGTCGAAATTTGGCGATACGAAAGTTTCTATTCAATCAATTTGTTGGCGCAGCTGTCGACCGTCCTTACAAAAGAACCGTGAACTATGCAAGTGGTATAAAAGCGATCGACCCATCCGAAAATAAGCAAGCCAATTCATTCGTTTGAACCGATAACAACTATGAGAGCAACCACTCTTTTCTTGGGCCTGGGCCTTTTGGTCCTCTGCCTTTCGAGCTACATCCAAGCGGTAGATGAGCCCACCGATGGCAGCACCACCCCCACTGACGGCAGCACCACCCCCACACTGATGGCAGCACCACCCCCACTGATGGTAGCACCACCCCCACTGATGGCAGCACCACCCCCACTGATGGCAGCACCACCCCCACTGACGGAAGCACCACCCCCACTGATGGAAGCACCACCCCAACTGATGGAAGCACCACCCCAACTGATGGCAGCACCACCCCCACTGATGGCAGCACCTCTCCCTCAACAGGTGGTAGCACAAGTCCTTCAGCAGTATCCCCCGCTGACACCTCCGCCACAGATGCCGACAGCAACAACACCAACAACAACAACACCAACAACAAAAACAAAGGCAACAACAAGAACAGCCGCAAGAAGAGGCGCCAGCGGGCACAACAGCGTCGTCGTCGCCGTCAGCGAGCCCAGCGCAGAAAGAACCGCCGGAACAGCAGGAGGAACAATAACGGCTAAACGGAACTAAAAGATTATTTGATAGTATCAAAAAGTGCATTCTTAAGAAAATATAAATGATTTATAAATATGGCAAATATGTTATTTCTTTGGGAAAAGCTTATTAGCTATTTTAGAGGTTTCATTTCTTTGCCAGTATACGCAATAGTACAAAGACCATCATCTAAAAGATAATGTAATTAAATGCACTATGAGTACTAACATATAAAACCAACCTAACCTTTGCAGAAAACTTCTATTCAGAATACTTTGAAAACTTTATACATGCATTGCGACAAATGAGCAAGAATTTCTTTATGAATCGTAAGGAAATCCCAATCCCATTTTGTATAGTTTTATTTCAAAAAATATTAATTAAGAACTATTTTATAACTAGCCAATACGCCAAGATAAAAAAAATTGTAATTTCGAATTTTTGTTTTCGTTAAATTTTCTGTATGAAGCCTCAGAAAAACCTCCATTAGGGTTACAAAAATATTATTGGTTCTGTACTTTAACCGCTTAATATGTTTTTTATTGTTTTTTTGTTTCTGTATAGAGTTTCATTGCACCAAACTTGTTTAAACGTAAAACTTGCTCATGATTATCTATTATAACACCTAATTTCACTTGAACTATTCAAATTAATAATTCCCGTTTGAGCTCTACTAATGAAACTGGTTACTCCACATTAATTATCACAGATCAAAGTTTTTAATTATATAAGCCCAAAATTTTCAGGGATTCACAAAAATATATATTTTTGTATGTCAAGATGACTTAGTTAGCCTCATCATTTTCAAAATAACAAGTTTTAATGCTCGCACTTTTTATTAGATCACAATTAACTGACGTAAGATAAGGAAACTTGGTTTACCAGGTTGTGTCGATTTCAGGTTCATCCTTGCACTGAATCTTAACATTGGTGGAGATGCCCTTTGCCGCCAACCATGGTCTGTTCCAAATCTTAACGATGCACTCCTTGTTGTCCGATCCGTTGGACAGCTCCGTCTGGAATTTGTGTAGAGACCCAGCCACTAATTGGCTACTGACCGAGATCACGTTTACAACCCTGAAAGAAAAGATAGGTTCTATATTATAAAGTTTTAATATTTTATTTACTGTAATTATAACTTACTGATAGCTGGGACCATCCCCTGCTGCCACTTTGGTGAGCGTAGTGGTCAATAGGTCCTTAGCCGCGGATAAATCAGCGCCCTCCAGGGGTTTTGGGGCACCCAGCGCCGACCTCTGCATATTCCATTAAAAATAGGTTCACAATAAACTATTAGCAATCAAATACAACTTACGGCATCGACAGCAACGGCCAGGGTCAGGCTCAGAACGAAGATCACTTTCATGGCTTGCATTTTTATCAAACAGTTGCCTTAAACTGAGTATAAACCGCGCCTAGAGACCGCTTTTATAGGAAACCGATATCATCTGAGAGTACGTCGAGAATATTTTCTTTTCTTTATTAGCGATTTGCAACAACCGGCCGATCGGCGATCGCTAGAAAAAGAGACGAGCTAGTGTGCACTAAAACCTGAACATGACGACAATGAAGTCGCTCGTCGAGCATCTTTATTTTAGTTTAGTTTTAGCCTTTTGGTTTGTTTCGCCTTTGGACTTGACTGAGGTTTTGTGATTTTCTTTAACTTGTTTGCCCAGGTCAGGAGTGGCCGTTATACTTCGATTTATCATCATTTAAAACACTAATACCCTTAATCTTGAGTCAACAATGACAAAATAAATACATATTACGTAAAACCGCAACGTTGGTACATAAATAGCTCCGAAAGTAAAGATTTCAGTTACACTCATTTTTCATGAAAAAACCCTTTGATTAAGTCAAAATTAAACCCCCAGAGATATGACTTTCTTTCGGCCCCGGAAAAAAATCAAAACAATTTGTATCATCGAATTGTTTTTATTCCGTGATTTATGCAAACATCAGTTTTGAATATTGGTAACTCTTATATAAAAACACATTTTTATAATTATTTTTATTTTCCATATAATTATTTTATTTCGTGTCAAATCAAATCAGCGAACCATTTCTCAGCAATAAACAGAGCTATTTAAGAGCAGGGCTATGACTAATTTAGTTCAAAAAAGTGTTCGTAATTTAAATAAAAGTTTTAAAAAATAGTCGAACCACAATTATCAATTGGTTCTTGCTGATTTTGGTGCGTGGGATTCCCCCACAAGTGTACACTGTACAAATTACGAATGTGTTCCAGATGTATAAACTTGCCGTAGGCGAGCTACTCATGTTGAGTCTTATCAATAACCATTGTTGAATGATATGAATCTGATAAAGGGACAAACTATACAAAAAAATAAATACTCACCAATACACAAGTGAAAAAGTTCACTTCTCTTGTGGCGAGAATAAAGCATTTTCAACACTACAAAGTATAATAAGCACAGAGAGAATTGCACGGATGATGTCGACGCCGACTAATTGAATTCACACAACAACTGAGAGAGACAAAGAAATGGACTTACTATTTGAGATAAAAATTCAAACAGGTTTTTTAATAGAACTGGTTAACCAGCAACAAACTCACAGGGAATATCGAATTTTTCAATAACCTATTTTACGATCCCTAGAAGAATCTTGTTATACCTAGTTTGGGATAATGGTGGACATAAATGTATGTACTTAGGAATCAGCTGTATACCAGAATATGTATACAAATACATAGGCACTCAAATTGATACGGGCAAAAGAATTTCTACCTAAACAATCATTTCAAATTAACAACACCTTTTCAGGTAAACTGCAATAGTACCTATAGAGTAAGCACTCATTGTTGCACTTTTTGTAGAACTCTTATTTTTTATTATTACATATTATTTGGCAAAGACATTCGAGAGTTCGATAAATAAATAACACAATATAAACAATCAACAAATTTAAATAAAAACTTGAAAGGCATTACAGTCATTAGTTAATCACTATGGGTAATGGGTACTTTTACCAAGTGCGGTCCAGTTCGCCATCTTCACCGGCAAACTTGATAGTGATGTTGGTGCCATCTTTCTTCAGCCAGGGCCGAGTCCAGATCTTCACGGTGCACTGCCTTTTGCTGGATCCGTCATCCAGTTCTACCTCGAAGGTGTTGAGAGTTCCTGCCACGACCTGACCTGTCACAGAGGTCACATTTACTGCCCTAAAATTGGTGGAAATCAAAAAGTAAGCGGTAAGCTCTACTGCATTTGGAGACGTGACTCACTTGTAGCTCGGACCATCATTGGTGGCCAATTGGGCGAGGGTGTCGTCCAGAAGTTTGAGGGCCTCCTTCCGCGCATTCCCCTCCAGCTGGCTAACTCCTCCCAGAACGTGATCGGTAGACATGGCTATGGTAACAGAACTCAGATGAACCAGAAGCAAAAAGTACGACGATTTCAGTCCGTTTATGTTACTGTCTCAACGATTGTGGGACAACTGATGAAGCTTTCGTTGGGGTACGAGCTTTTATGCCCGTTATCGCATTGGATTTGTGAAATATATATTGACTTGGGGGTGGCAATGTCAATGGATTTGTGAAATATATATTATGATTTGGGAGTGGCAAGCTTGTACAAAGCAATTTGATAACACGGATATTAAATAAAAATATTACGATCCTTTAAGTTAAGATTACTTTTTTTTAAAGTCAGCTAAAACTATTTAAAATAATAATACAAATTTAGGATTATACAACCATAGGCGAATTTATTTTTCAAAGGTCCAAAAAAGAACAAGTTTTCAGAGAGATTGGAGATGTATTATTTCCAATTTAAAAGGAAAACCTTTTTACCAGGTACTGTCAACCTCACCATCGTCACCGGTGCACTTGATCTTGATGTTGGTGCCGTCCTTCTGCAGCCAAGGCTGTGTCCAGATCTTCACGGTGCACTGCTTTTTGTCGGATCCATTCTCCAGCTCCACTTCGTAGGTGTTGAGAGTTCCAGCCACGGTTTGACCGGTCACAGAGGTCACGTTGATAGCCCTAGTTGGTGAAAGCAATATGGTAAATTTAATGTTTAGGAAGATTGCTTAGCAAGATTTCTGCTTACTTGTAGCTAGGTCCATTTCCAGTGGCCAACTGATCTAGGGTAGCATTCAAAAGATCAAGAGCCTCCTTCCGTTGATCTCCCTCCAACTGGGAGGATCCACCGACAATCTGCTTATCTTCGGAAGAAGCGAAGGCAGCCAAGCTCAGGAGAACCAAGCCCAAAATGCACACCGATTTAAGTCCGTTCATGTTGCTTGCTCGACGATTGTGAGAACACTAATGAATACCCGGCGATGTGGCTCTTTTTATACCTGACATCTCCATGGGAGATCGACAATGGAAAAATACAAAGAGCACATGTCATTATAGGTATATTAGGCTGTGTAAAAACAAGAGCCGAACTATTAATTACAAACAGTATATGAGGTTATGTTGTTAAATGCAAAATATAAAAAAGTACCTAGTTGCTTGATAACAAACTTATGAACTTAAATTGTATATGTGGTTGTCGGTAATTATGGCTAGTTTCTTTGAATCACACAGTTTTTATTTAACCTAGCTCACTAATAAGTGGGTATCTTAACGTCAATCCCTTCAGGCGATTCTTATCTAAATATTTATAGTTTATATTCAGAGGCCCGCCAGTTTAAATTAGCATCTATTTACATCAATTATAAATGTATATATTTTCGAGGAAACGCAAATTTAACCGCTTACAAATATTCTAATTGGGGCCATATAACCTATAGACGCCAAATTATTGAATTATAAGATGAACTAGATTTCGATTTCTATGCCTATATTACTAACAACATTGAAGCTGTGTCGACTTTGCGCTGCATTTTGCCATCGTTTCTATAGCAGCTATATGATATCGTTATTTGATTTTAATTTAATTAAAACCGTAATTCCACAATAGTTAACTATCCAAATCCAAAAAAACAAAAAAATAGTTAAATAGTTTCCGATCAATCAGTTATGTGGCGGCTGTAGGATATAGTCGGCCGATCCTTATGAAATTTGGTAGGTCAGATTAATTGGCCAAATATAAAACCCATAGAAAATCCCAACTTCCAAACTTTACAAACACCAAAGTTATGGTATTTCCGTTCAATCACTTATATGGCAGCTATAGGATATAGTCGGCCGATCCCGGCCGTTCCGTTATATACTGCGTGCAAAGGAAAGAAGGGTGTGTGCAAAGTTTCAATTCGATATCTTTAAAACTGAGAGACTAGTTTGCGTAGAAACAGACAGACGGACAGACAGACAGACGGACAGACGGACAGACAGACGGACAGACAGACGGACAGACAGACGGACAGACAGACGGACAGTGCAGACGGACAGACAGACAGACGGACAGACAGACGGACAGACAGACGGACAGACAGGACAGACAGACGGACAGACAGAGGACATGGATAGACAGACGGACTCCTTCTGGGGATGCACACTTTTGATCAAAATTATTATACCTCTCAAGGGTATAAAAACAATAAAGTTATAATTTTTTGGAGTTCCTATGGGATAATAGTCGCCCGACTTGCAATAGAAAGACAACTTTTGGGAAAGTTTCAAGAAGATAGCTTTAAAACTGAGGAACTAATTTGCATAGAAACGGCGGACGGACAGACGGACAAACGGACGGACAGGCGGGCATGGATAGACCGACTCTTCTGGGGATGCTGATCAAGAATATATATACTTTATAGGGTCGGAAATGTCTCCTTCACTGCGTTGCAAACTTTTCAATGAAATTATAATACTCTCTGCAAGGGCATTAAAAGGGGAACTTTTTCTCCAAATGCGACCTTTCAAAATTTAGTTTAAATAGTAGTCTCGGCTTTGATTGAAAAGCTGTACAAATGAAAAGCAAAGCAAACCACACTCTTAGCGCTCAATATATAAAAGTAAACCTCACATACATTTTATAATCAAGCTAACACAAACATCTGGTTTGCGGGGAAGTAACCTCTTATCACTGTTACTAAGACAGAGTTCTACAAAGGCCGATCAATTTGATATGAGTATGTTCTATGTGCAAGCACATAAATCATTTCTATTTTCTAGGTATTAGATTGCAATTATGTGCTTAGCTATTTGTCATATAATACTCGTATCGCATACTTGTACATCGCCCTAATAGTATAGGTTAATTAATGATAAATATATCAAAGTACAGTGGATCTCAAATTAAATTTATTCATTTATGCAAAGTATTATTTGTAGATTAATCAATCATATATTTATTGATAAATTGTGCCTTAGAACTTTCCTAGCTATAAATATTTTGAAAATTCTTTTCAATATATTTTATAAAATAATCGATACACTGCATTAAATTTCCAAAACTTTGATTGAAGTAGTTACCTAGAAGAGCTGCTTTTATTACAAATTAAAGATAACAATTTCTACATAAACTCATTTTACCAATTTTAATTATGAATTTATTCCAGCATACCAATTCTTTAAAACAAAGCTGTAAGCGAGTACTTGGGTAGCTTCCATCTAAATGTGGATGTGGACATGTTAAAGCAGTGGGGTGCGATCATGGCCGCCGCATCCGCGTCATCGGCAGCGAAAACGACCTCCGAGATGGACAAGAAACCGCTGGCAGGTACGTTCACATTGTATGTTTCTACCCCGTAATTGAGGAACTAGGATGAGCTGGCTGCTGACAATATACAATATTGACTTGGGGGTGGTCAATGCATAGTTGAAATATATAATGACTTCGAGGTGGCAAGCTTGTACAAAGCAATTTGATAACACGGATATTAAATAAAAATATTACGAACCATAAGTTGAGATTATTTTATTTTTGAAGCCAGCAAAAACTATTTAAATGAATAATACAAATTTATGTTTATACAGCCAAAGGCGCAGTTTATTTTTCAAAAGTCCAAAAAAGAACAAGTTTTTAGAGAGATTGGAGATATATTATTTACAATGTAAAAGGAAGACCTTTTTACCAGGTACTGTCAATCTCGCCATCGTCACCGGTGCACTTGATCTTGATGTTGGTGCCGTCCTTCTGTAGCCAGGGCCGAGTCCAGATCTTCACGTTGCACTGCTTTTTGTCGGATCCATTATCCAGCTCCAGTTCGTAGGTATTGAGAGTTCCAGACACGACTTGACCGGTCACAGAAGTCACGTTGATAGCCCTATTTGGTGAAAGCAATATGGTCAATTTTATGTTTAGGAAGATTGTTTTGCAAGATTTTTGCTTACTTGTAGCTGGGTCCATTTCCAGTGGCCAGCTGAGCTAGGGTAGCATTCAAGAGAGCCAGAGCCTCCTTCCGTTGATCTCCCTCCAACTCGGAGACACCATTAAGAATCAGCTCTTCAGCTGATGAAGGTAAGGCAGCCAAGCTCAGGAGAACCAGGCCAAAAATGCACATCGATTTAAGTCCGCTCATGTTGCTTGCTCGACGATTGTGAGAACACTAATGAACACCCGGCGATGTGGCTCTTTTTATACCTGTCATTTCCGTGGGAGATCGACAATGTAAAAATACAAAGATGTCACTATAGGTCTACTAGGCTGTGAAAAAACTAGTGCCAAACTATTAATTATAAACAGTATATGAGGTTATGTTATTAAATGAAAATATAATAAATAAAGACTAATATAAAAAAATAAACTTTATAGATACTTAAAGTAGGTCAGGAATGGCCGTTATACTTCAAATACCCTTAATCTTGAGTCAAAAATCACAAAGAACGCAGAAAAAATAAATACATATTTCGTAAAACCGCAACATTGGAATATAAATAGCTCTGTTCTTTACTTTTAGTTACACTCATTTTTCATGCGAAAAACCCTTTGAATAAGTGAAATGTAATCCCCCAGAGATATAGACTTCCTTGCGACTCCGGGAAAAAAATTAAACCGATTTCAATCATCGAAATGTTAGTATTTCGTGATTTATGCGAACTTCGGTTTTAAATATTGACGACTTTAAATAAAAACACATTCTTAGAATTAATTTTATTGTCCACTCAGATAAATCGTGACAAATCAAATCAACAAACCAATTAGTAAAAAAAACACGGCTATTTAAGAGCAGGGCCATGACTAATTTAGTTCAAAAAAATGTTGTTAATTTAAGTGTTCTCGATTTAACAAATAAAAGTTTAAAAAAATAGTGGAACCACAATTATCAATTGGTTCTTGCTGATTTTGGTGCTTGGGATTCCCCCACACGTGCACACTGTACAAATTACAAATGTGTTCCAGATGTATAAACTTGCCCTAGGCGAACGACTCATGTTGTGCCTTATCAATAACCATTGTTGATTGATATGAATCTGATAAAGGGACAAAGTGAAAAAGTTCACTTGTTGGTGTGAAGAGAATAAAGCATTTTCACTACAGAGAGAATTGCACGGATGATGTCAACGCTGACTAAATGAATTCACACAACAACTGAGAGAGACAAAGAAATGGAATCACTATTTGAGATAAAAATTCAAACCGGTTTTTTAATATAACTAAATAACCAATAACAAACTCACAGGGAATCATGGATTTTTAAATAACCTATTTTACGATCCTTAGAAGAACCTTGTATGTATCATATGTCTTGGTATGTGGGATCAGCTATAGACACGAATTGATAGGGACAAAAGAATTTATATTTTAACAATCATTTCGAATTAACAAAACCTTTTCAAGTAAACTGCAATAGTACCTTTAGAGTATGTACTCATTGTTGTTCTTTTTGTAGAACTCTTATTTTTTATTATTAAATATTATTTGGCATTTGATAATTCGATAAATAAATAACACAATATAAACAATCAACAAATTTAAATAATAATATAAAAGTCATTACAGTCATTAGTTAATCACTATGGGTAATGGTAAAAGTTACCAAGTGCGGTCCAGTTCGCCATCTTCACCGGCAAACTTGATAGTGATGTTGGTGCCATCTTTCTTCAGCCAGGGCCGAGTCCAGATCTTCACGGTGCACTGCCTTTTGCTGGATCCGTCATCCAGTTCTACCTCGAAGGTGTTGAGAGTTCCAGCCACGACCTGACCTGTCACAGAGGTCACATTTACTGCCCTAAAATCGGGGAAATCCAAAAATAAGCAATAAGTTCTATTACATTTAGAGACCGGACTCACTTGTAGCTCGGACCATCATTGGTGGCCAATTGGGCGAGGGTGTCATCCAGAAGTTTGAGGGCCTCCTTCCGCGCATTCCCCTCCAGCTGGCTAACTCCTCCCAGAACGTGATCGGCAGACATGGCTATGGTAACAGAACTAAGAAGAACCAGAACCAAATAGTACGACGATTTCAGTCCGTTTATGTTACTGTCTCAACGATTGTGGGACAACTGATGAAGCTTTCGTTGGGGTAAGAGCTTTTATGCCTGTTATCGCATTGGATTTGTGATATATATATTGACTTGGGGGTGGCAATGTCAATGGATTTGTGAAATATATATTGTGATTTGGAAGTGGCAAGCTTGTACAAAGCAATTTGATAACACGGATATTAAATAAAAATATTACGATCCTATTAGTTGAGATTACTTTTTTTAAAGTCAGCTAACTATTTAAAATAATAATACAAATTTAGGATTATACACCCATAGGCGAATTTATTTTTCAAAGGTCCAGAAAAGAACAAGTTTTCAGAGAGATTGGAGATGTATTATTTCCAATTTAAAAGGAAAACCTTTTTACCAGGTACTGTCAACCTCACCATCGTCACCGGTGCACTTGATCTTGATGTTGGTGCCATCCTTCTGCAGCCAGGGCTGAGTCCAGATCTTCACGGTGCACTGCTTTTTGTCGGATCCATTCTCCAGCTCCACTTCGTAGGTGTTGAGACGTCCAGACACGGTTTGACCGGTCACAGAGGTCACGTTGATAGCCCTAGTTGTTGAAAGCAATATGGTAAATTTGATGTTTAGAAAGATTGCTTAGCAAGATTTCTGCTTACTTGTAGCTAGGTCCATTTCCAGTGGCCAACTGATCTAGGGTAGCATTCAAAAGATCAAGAGCCTCCTTCCGTTGATCTCCCTCCAACTGGGAGGATCCACCGACAATCTGCTTATCTTCGGAAGAAGCGAAGGCAGCCAAGCTCAGGAGAACCAAGCCCAAAATGCACACCGATTTAAGTCCGTTCATGTTGCTTGCTCGACGATTGTGAGAACACTAATGAATACCCGGCGATGTGGCTCTTTTTATACCTGACATCTCCATGGGAGATCGACAATGGAAAAATACAAAGAGCAGATGTCATTATAGGTATATTAGGCTGTGAAAAAACTAGTGCCGAACTATTAATTATAAACAGTTATGTTGTTAAATGCAAAATATAAAAAATGTACCTAGTTGCTTGATAACAAACTTATTAATATAAATTATATAAGTTGTTGTCGTTAATTTTGGTTAGTTTCTTTGAATCATACAGTTTTTATTTAACGAAGCTCTTTTAATTTCAAACTAGGTATCTTAGCGTCAATCCCTTCATGCGATTCTTATCTAAATATTTATAGCTTATATTCAGAGGTCCGCCCGTTCAAATTAGCATATATTTACATCATTTATAAATGTATGTATTTGAGATGAAAAGCAAATAAAACCGCTTACAAATATTCTAATTAGGGTCATATAACCTATAGGCGTCAAATTATTAAGTTATAAGATGAAAAAGGGGAACTTTTTCTCTATACAGGTACCTTTCGATATTTAGTTTATATAGTAGTTGCGGTTTTGATTGAAAAGCTGTGCAAATGAAAAGCAAAGCAAACCACACTCTTTGCGCTCTATATATGTATAAAAGTAAACCTCACATTTGTACATATGTATTTATAATCGTGGCTTCAAGCTAACAAACATCTGGTTTTCGGGAAAATAACCTCTTATCACTGTTACTGAGGCCGAGGTCTGTCGATTTTATATGAGTATTTTCTATGTGCAAGCACATAAATCATTTCTATTTTCTGGGTATTACATTGGCAAATGTTTAGATTGCAATTATCTGCTGAGCTATTTGTCATAAAATACTCGTATGACATCGCAGTACTATGCTTAAATTTAATTTTTCACTATTTCTAAACGCAAACTTTAAATGTTCCGAGCTATACAAATTTTTTTTTTTTTAATAGATTCGATTAAATAATCGATACACTGCAATAAACTAACAACTTCTTGATTTTCGGAGTTACGCCTTTATTACAAATTAAATATTTCCAGAAACCGATTCCAAACTCATTTCCATGAACTCATTTTATCAATGGCCTTTTGGCAGAATCACCCAATCACAGATTAGATCTTTACATAACAACACAATTTGAGGCAATGAAAAACCATTTAATGATATATTTATTCCAGTATACCAATTCTTCAAAACAAAGCTGAGGTACAAACTTAAAAGCCTTACGAACTAAGCTCTCTACAATAGTTGTGTGTTCAATTTTTTAAATAACGCATAAGTCAACGATATTTTTCGATGCACGATACCATGAGGTAATTTACTCCGAATCTTTGTGTGTATTAGGATAAGAGGTTTTAAAAATACAAGGCTTCGGGCGAGTAGTTTAGGTAGCTTCCATCTAAATATGGATATGCACATGTTCCAGCAGTTGGGCGCGATCGTAGAAGATGGCTGAGCACATTTCGCACTCAAAGCTGCGGGACTTGCGTTCCAATTTGCCAGCCGCCGCCGCCATAGCCGCCGCATCCGCGGCATCGGCAGCGGAGACGACCTCCGAGATGGAAAAGAAACCGCTGCCCACATCGACATTGCTTGTGCTGGCAGGTACGTTCACATTGTATGCATCTACCCCGTAATTGAGGTACGAGGATGAGCTGCTGCTGACCTTGGTGGCAGTGTTTACTTTTTTGGCAACTCCCGGGCCTGCTATTGATTTGCTGGTAATGCCTCCTGCAGTCCTCCTGCTCTCTGTCCTTGCACCATTGGCAGTGATCTGACGAAGATGTCTGGAAGTTCTGGCAGAGGATGAGGACGAAGGAGTGGTCCCACTGGGTGCCGTGACTCTTTGCTGGCTCTCCACCATCTCCCGCAAGTCTGGAGACGTTGGCTCGATCTTAATAAGGTTCTGCTCCTCTTCGGGCAGAAATTGCGGGGTTGTCGAGGATTCGCTGGTGAAACGTAGGCGGGAATTCCTCTCGTGTTTTAGTGGCGAACGCAGAATCTCCTCCAGATTAACAATGCTCGGGTTGAACTTCTCGTACGTCTTTTCCCTGAGCAGACCAGCATCTATTAGGAGATTATCATCATACATTAGTTGAACACGCTGCTCCTGCTCCTGTTTGATGTGCAGAGGGCTGGAGCTGATCTGATTTGGCGGATGGGTGGCCGGAGAAATGATCTCATAGTCATCCACCATGTTTGAGGCACTGCTGCGTGATTTCTCTAGACTTAGATTAGTTGTCTCTGTTCGACTGATGTAGGTCTTGGATCGCGTCTTCTTGGCTGCACTGCTGGATGATTCTCCGCCAGCTCCCTTCGGTACTTTGGCCTTCTCTGTGTGAATCATTCGGGGTCGCGAATTGATGGCAGGTGGTGCTTTGCTGGCAGTCTTTGTAGTTCCTGCCTTCTTCCTGCTGCGACTGCTGGAAGTGGTGGAGGCGCCGGTGGATGTGGAAACGGACGTGTTAAGGTTGTCTGCCACTTCTGCAGGTTTAGCCTGCACTTTTCCCTGCTGCTTGGCGGCTCCTCTTGTTTTGGGTACGGCTGCAGATCCAGTGGAACTGGAGGGCTGCAGGTGAGTATCGTTAACCACAACTAGCGAATCGATCTGGAAAAGAGCCACTTGGCTGTCTTGCAGGAACTTCTCCTCCCAGATGCGATCTGATTGTTGACTGCTGGTAGAGTCGTATCTTGATTTGGCCTTGTTCTTTTCCTGGGCCGACTTCACCGTTTTGCCATTAGCCGCTGGTTTGGGTTCAGCCTTTGGAGCTCCCGACGACCTTTTCCTCTTTTCCTTTTTGGGCGACTCGGCCATTTCAAAGATATCGTCCACATTCTCCACATCGAAGTCACAAAGGTCGATGTCGCTAGTGTACTCATCTGCATCGCCCCCTCCTATGGCATCCTCCTCTTCGCCGTTGGTATCCTTGTGCTCCGCCCGCATGTGTGCGATCTCGTGAGGCTGCAGCTTACGTCGACGCTTGTACTTGCGCGGCCCCGTCTAAAAACCAATGCTTGTTTAGAAAAACATAAATTAAAACCATATTTTGTGTAAGACTTACAATGGGCTGGCGCTGCTTGGCGGTGTTTGAATCACTGTGTTGAATGAGATGCTGGATGAGGTCGTTGGACGAGGCTAGGTCCTCGGAGCAGACCGTGCAGTGGTAAGTATTCCGTGCCACATCCAGCCCAGAATGATGTGAGCGGATGTGTTCGCGCAGCACCACACGCTGGTTGAAGGCGCGCGGGCAAACGGAGCAGGCGTACGGCTTTTCGCCCGTGTGAATGCGCTCGTGCTTTCGCAGCGTGCCACCGTCGGCAAAGGCCTTCCAGCAGTAGCGGCAGCCGTATGGCCGCTCACCAGTATGGATGCGCACATGGATCTGCTGGGAGCTACGCGATCCAAACGTCTTGCCGCACTCGTGGCACGGAAACAGCTTGCCCGGCGAAGTGGTGCTGTGGGAGTGGCGGTGGTTGGAGAGTGTTCGACCGTCGGGGAACTCCTCCTGGCACACCTCGCACACCACTGACTTGTCGCGATGCGAGGCCATGTGCCGCTTCAGGCGCGCCTTGTTGTGGAAGTTTTTGCCGCACTTGGAGCACGAGTGGCACTTTTCGCGCGAATGGTCCCACGCGTGCTTAATCAGAGCCTTGCGGTCGCGGCACTCCTTGCCGCACAGCACACAGGAGTTAGCCTTCAGTTCGCTGGGGTGGCGGGTGTGCAGGTGCCGCTTTATTGCCTGCTCCTCGTAAAAGCTGATTCCGCATAGGACGCACCTGAAAGTGTACGCGGTATTAGATTATTTATACTAAAGAATAGGCTTAAATTGTATTATCTTATTGTAATTAGGTGCTTGATTATTATGCAAAAAAGATTTTACCAAGTTTATAAACTACAAATTAAGCAATGGTGAAGGTTTTAATACTCTTATTTTTACCGTCAAGTTTATATCATCTATAAGTGTTGAATATGTAAACAAATTCCCTGCAATCTATGTTTAGTCTAAACTCACTTGAAGGGCGGGAATCTAGCGTGGATTTCGGCATGGGCAAGCATCTCCAATGCGCTGGGAAAGGACTTTCCGCAGGTGTGACAGCAGTGACCGCCTGAATCTTTGGCAAGCTCTATCTCTCCACCAGCAGTAACATCGGAATTGCCTTCACCGGCTGCCTGATCCGTTTGCTTGCAGTGCATTTTGGCATGGCGCCGCAGCAGATCCTGGCGATGGAAAGAGATCCCGCACTCGTTGCAATAGAACTCGCCGTACAACTGCTCCTCGGGCTCCGATTCGCTGGCACTATCCTCCGCCGAAGCAGGATCGTACTCCGAGTTACTCTCCTCGAACTGGTGCGTCTTCTGGTGCTCCTGCAAGCTAGTGTTGTCCCAGAACATCTCCTGGCACTGATTACATTCGAAAGGCGAGTCCACGCGGTGGTTCTAGTGAAACGAAATGAGAATTAGTGGAGGATTTTGGCAATAAACTGGTTAATCAAGTTTCGGGTAAAGCTATGTCATCTTTTAAAGACCTTCATGGCTTTTTTTTTTCTTCATTATTTTTTACCTTTGTGTGTGAGACGAGTGCCTTTTCCCGCGCAAAGGCCAGTCCGCACTGCTGGCACACGAAGGGTTTGCTGTCATCCAGCACTGGGAAATTTGGCTGTGGCGGAGGTTCGACGGCGATGGGGTGCGATGTTGCGACCACAGGCTGAGCCGGCTCAGAGTCCATGTAGTCCCTCAAATCGCTGGCGATCGGCTTGTCGGAAATCACAATAAACTGGCTGCTCTCCTCCTTGGGCTTAAGCCGACTGATCCTGCCCCGCGTTGGTGCTGCGGGCGGAGCTACTGCTTCCGGATAGCTATCAAGTAGCTGAACCTCGCCCACCTCCAATATCTGATGGTGATGCTGCATCTCCTGTTGCGACTGATCTTGCTCCTGCTGCTGTTGGTAGAGTGGCCACTCCTGCTCGTAGTAGTGATCGTCCAATTGCCGCTGCGACTGGTGCTCGAACTTAATGGAGGAGGAGGAATCGGCTGCAGCGGCTGCTGCTTCCGCATCGGCTGCATCCTGGGCCTCTGCGTGGGCTTTGAAATGACTGATGAGCTCTGCCCGTCGTGAGAATCGGGCTCCACACAGCTTGCAGAGATGCGGTCGATCGTTTTGGTGGGCCAGCATGTGGTTGTTCAAGGTGGCCTTCTTCCGAAACCGACGGCTGCAAAAGTCGCAGGGATACGGTCTCAGCGCGGTGTACTCATCCTGCTCCATATCCAGCAGTTCCTGCGAGCTGCTGATGCCGGCTATCTGCTCGGCTGCGATTTCCACACTACAAAAAGGGTGAACAAATGGATAAAGGAATCCTTTTAAGGAAAGGAACTGGACTCACCGCTCGGCACCCTGGTGCTGCACCCAGTCGTCAGTAATGACCTCCTCCGTGACCACCTGGGCGTCATCGTCAAAGGATTCAGCATAGGCCACCGTTGTGCCATCGGCAGTGACTAGGACTGTTCCGCCCGCTTCGTTGGCCGCCATCATCTCGCTCAGCTGGCCGTCGCGCGCCATGAATATAAGATTCTCGGCTGCCATATGGTCCAGGTCCTCGCCCGTCGCCCCCGCTCCACCGTCACTCTCCAGGATGTCCACTTCCGAGGAGTCGCCGGCGGAGACGTGGTGCTGTATCCACTGGATGCCGCCATATCGCTGGTTGTTCATCACTCGCTAGCCCTGCAAAGTATGCAGATTTCTTAGCAGGCTGCGCGCATAAACAAATGAGTTGCACAAAAATGTATGATCAACAATTGGTGGCACATGTGCTCAGAAATATTGAAAACCGTGGGAGAGGGAGAGAGCGACTACGGCGCTGCCAGATGTCTGCTCAGGGTGCATTAAATCGTTAAATTTAAATAAAAGCAAACTAACTACGCAGCCAAGAAAACACTTCAATATAAAACCACAAATCAGCTGGCCCAAAATAGATGGTTTGATTTTATTTGGCAGATTTAAAGTTTTGTTTTTATTTTATGAAGAGTGGCAGCACTTTAACGAATTCCAGAAGTGGTGGTCAAATAACATTTTATAGCTAGATCTAGCCAGTTATGTTGCATTTTTAGAATTAACAATAAAAATTAGAACTCCTAATTTTAGTTAATCCATCTATGAACAAATTTTTTAGGACTATTCAGTCGTGGACAGCTTTGCCATAAAACAGTTAATAACTTATACATTTGTGTGAGGTACGAAGCACATGGATATTTTGGAACTTAATGAAAATCATGAGTTCGATCGGAGGATCTTCTTGGAATATTTGAGCGTAACTGCAGTTTTATAATGCTCATTTTATTTTTTTTTTTTGTTTAGTTCAGCTTTTTCCGTTACAATTTTTGATGTTTTTTGGCTTTAAAAGTGGACAACACTGACTTCCAAGCGCCGCGCACACTAGTGGTCTCGCTCGCATATACGGTGTTCGCCGTTCTGCTCGCCTTGTTCGTGTCAAGCTTTTTTTACATGCAAAATATTCCAACTTATAAACACCAATTTGGACCATAAATGAGGTTAAGTCGGTGTTTTTATTTATATTCCAGACCGCAAGCTCGGCGTAAACGTAAACAATGTTCTCGAAAATCGAATTTAAGCCCAAATAGTGGCAGACGGCACGCGCACTTTGCGGCCATGCGATTACATCACACAGATCACACGCCCGAAAGTCTTGCACGGCCACTTGGATTATTTTATTTTAATTTTTCGTCGAGGTTGTCGGTGTCATTTTGAGGTTAAATAGGTCTCTGAAACACCGGGCACTGGTTGAGCGTTTTTTTTACCTTATATCCAATCCTTATGCCGTTCGCATGCTTCGCTGGGTACGATTTTAAATGCGGCGAAAAGTTTTCTCGCAAAATGCCCACGAACGACCGGAGAAAGAGGAATTGCCATTGCGTTGCCGTGTTCTTGTTCTTCTTCGCACTGCTATTCACATTGGAGCCGGCCAGGGGTGCCACCTGCTGCACGATGGCTCTGCCACATCGCCGAAAAAAGTTCACTGTTAACGGCAAACAGTGCTGTAAAGTGATAGCACATATTTAAAAAATAACCGTTAGATGTATAAGAATACTTCTTAAATCACTTTCTTTTTCACTTTATTAAAATTAGGAGGAGACATAGTATTTTCAAATTATTTGATTTGTTTTTTGGTTCTTAAATTATTCTAGCTTAGTAATCTTGTTCAATAATCAACTATGATAGGTTGAATATCTCCGATTACTATTTATTGCCTTATTTGGGTAACACCTGCGAATGTTTGACAAAAAATAATTATTATTTGTTGGTTAAACAAAAGTTAAGATGTTTTTAATGGTCAAAAATTACGTAAGAATTGAAATCGTCAAAAGGTGATACGTAATAACTTAATATAATATTGAATTTGCCACCAGGGGAAATAACTTTATTAACATTAGAGTTTGTTTTTATTGCAACATCTGCGGTGGTTAGACCAGCGAATACAATTTCTTCTTAATTAAACAATCATCAAAATGTTAGACAACAATTTGATCAGCGTCTCTAGCCGATATTCGCACTTGCAAAAAAACGAAACAATTGATTAAACAAACCAAACTTTCGTTGAGCCTAAGAATTCGGATAAATAGGCCGGTCGACAGAGGGAAACCAATATTGCAAATTTGATAACTAGAACAGCAATTAAAAGCAATAACTATGCTGGCGTCCAAATTTCTTATCCTGATTGCTGCCATTTTCTGTTGTTTAAGTGGAGGTCTGGCTGTCACCTGCGCAGATGATCCCACGGATGCCAATTGCATCGATTGCACCACCGACACCACCAATGATGAATGCACCACCACTACAACAACAACCACGGTGGCTCCAACAACAACCACGACCACAACAACAACAGCAGCAACAGTAGTTCCCACTGCGAAAAAATCGGGAAATAAGAAGAATGTTTACATTAAGAACATGAAGTTTAAAGTCAAAAGGCAAGTTAAGCGTGTCAAAAAAACGGGCTAAAAATATACTCAAAATCATTTGAAATAAATACAAAATTACAATTAACTATGTAAGATTTTTGGATAATTAAGGGATTAAGATGAAAAAAATTATATCTGGAAAAACTATGCTTACCTATAGGGGTTGGAAGACATGAGTGTTTTTCGTTCAAAATTATGAGCTTGGGAGTTTTTCCAATAAAACTGGAAGTTACAACCAACCTTAAAAAATACACAAGGTGCCATCGACTTAAAGGAGCTGTTGGGTTATTATCTTTTAATCTGTGCATCCGCAGTAAAATAGAGTTACCAAAGTTAAAAGGAACTGCTTCTTTAAAATAAAATATGTGAATTCTTACAGGAAGTTGTTAAATGTTTTCAATAACTAAGTCAGGATCAAATATAAATTTTTCCCAATAAAAATTTGAACCAAATAGTGTTATTTAATGTTCACACGAGTGATTATTTTTTGAATATTTTTAAGACAACTTATACCACTTATTCGAGTGAGGAAAGTGCTCGTGAAAGTTGGAATTATTATTTAATAATTATTAGAATTTATATATTATTTATATAATATAATATTTATTAAAAAATAAATATATTGACTAACAGCTTAGCCTCATTGAAAATCGATTGCCTATTAATTATTAATTAACGATATCTTAAAATTATTTTTCTTCTACACTTTCGTTATATTTTTATTGCCAAATCTCAATAACATCTGCGTTTGTTTGATTTATGATTCATAAACAATGATTATTATTTGTTACTTAAATTTTTGTTTTTGCAACATCTGCGAGTTAAAGACAACCAAAAAATAATTAAACAATCTACAAAAAGTTAGACAACAATTTGATCAACGTCTATTGCCAATTTCCGCGTTCGCAAAAATCCGAAACAAATAATAAAACAAACAAAACTTCCGTTACCCCTAAAAAATCGTATAAATATGTCGGGCGACAGAGGAAGACCAATATTGCCAATTTGGAAACTGTAAAATCAATTAAAGTGATCAATATGCTGGCGTCCAAATTTCTTATCCTGATATCAGCGATATTCTGGTGTTTGAATGGAGTTCTGGCTGTCACCTGCGCCGATGATCCCACGGATGCCAATTGCATCGATTGCACCACCGACACCACCAACGATGAATGCACCACCACTACAACAACAACCACGGTGGCTCCAACTTCCTCCACAACCACAACAACAACACCACCAACAATATTTGCAACCATTAAGAACATGAAGCTCAGAGTCAAAAATAAAATAATGAGGTTGTTAACAAAACAGTTTTAAAAATGTATTCAAAATCTAATAAAAAAAATAAATAAAAAAATAGAACCTATCTTGTTTTAGTGTAACTAAGTTACTCAAATATTATTGGATTTGGTTACGCATACCGTTTAAATCAAATAATGTTGCATACCTATAGGCGTTTTCTTTTAAAAATGAAAGTCCAGATACTGTAACTTAAGCAATGTTTATCAGAATTCTTCGGTTCCTTTTTTTATAATCTATGCATCTGCTATAAACTTGAGTTGACTAAGAAAGCTGTTTAATTTTTATGATCTACTTTAAAATGAAAACAATATACCCCTGTTTTCTACAAGAAGCGTTTCTCATACCCTCATCCCAATAACAAGTTAAGAAAAAATAGTGATATTTAATATCCATACATGTGTTTATCATTTGTATATTTAAAACCAACTTTTACTTCTCATTCGTGTGATGAAAGTGCTAAAGAAGTTGCGAATTCTGCCGATGCGTGATCTTTTGGTGGTGACCGTTGTTATCGGGGCAGCAGTTGTTGTTTGAGCCCAATGGATCCTCTGCAGGCACTCAATATGGGTGGGATACACTCGACAGTCGATGCAGGAGGCATCCGTGGGTGCCACATCACAGGTGACCGCCGCAGCATCATCCAGGAAATAAAACACGGCAAGGAGCAGCAAGATGTACTTTAAAGATACCATTTTGGACATTCACTCTAAGACGACTAAAAAATATGACTAAATCTTTGTCTAATAAGTCAAAGAAATGTGCTTAAAGCAAACCAATTGAAAGACTAAGATTTGCTCAGGTGTTTTGTGGAGAGAATTAGCTTTTCAAATCAGCTTAAGCGCGTAAAACAATAAACTTTAATACACTTTAATTTGGGGGTGTTATTACTCATACGCAATGTTGGCTTTATGGGTAGAAAAATATTTCACTTTAAATTAATAAGCCAGAAAAAATAAACAAATACAATTAATGAACAAAGGTTAACTTAGAAAGGTTAAGTTACTAATTAAAGATTTATTTTTGATTTTTTCTTACCTTAATGGAAACTCTTTCATCACTGATCCTTATTATTTCGTTAAAGATGAGTGATTGGAAATTCTTAAAAATGTTTAATAATTACTCATAGCTGAATTGGAAATTTTAGATTGAGTCATATTATAAAAACTAATTAATAAACAAATAAGAAATCGAAAAAATTGGAAAGAATAAAGCTGTTGATTAACTTAGAGTTCCTTATCCGAACTTTTACCCCTAAACAGATGCACAGTGCTCTCTTTCATTCAGCTCTTTATCTTTCTCTTCAATTTAAAGAGCTCCAATCTACATATACATATGCAGACGAGCGCCAAAGCGCGCCAAACTTTTTCCACCCCCTCCCCCTCTTTGTAGTTGTTATTTTTGTTGTTGCCCATCCACTGCTCTGCTTTTATTTTTATTGCTCTGCGATCCAAAGCGATCCGCTCCGCTTCTCTTTGGTCCGCTGGGCAGAAAAGCAGAAAAAGCTGTAAAAGCAAACAGCCAACGAGCGGCGGCTATTTAATTTTCGTTTTGGTTTTGGCGTGGATCGGGTCGGATCGGTTGGCCATAGCCTCCCCGAATATTTATATATATATATGCACCGGATTTCGGACTGCGAGTGCAGCGGAAAAACTGAAAAAATTGAGAAAAGTGCTCGTGACTGGAATTTCGCATTTGTTTACCCCTGTGTGTTTGTGTTTTTAATACGTTTTGTGTGTGTTTTTTGCGCTGGAAAAGGGAAAACAATCGAGATTGGATCAACAAGAGCAGTGCGCCACCTATCGGTCACAGTGGGTAAGTTTAGGATAAGGAAAAACAATTTTTTTCTCGTTAAATAATAACAACAAAATGGCATAGCAAAAATCAGCGAACTGAACAAGAAAAAAGTAACCGCCGTTCTTTTGACAGGCGGCGACGACATAAAATGTCAAACTGTCGATCAACATCAAGGCGAAATATGCAAGATGCGTGTCTTAAATGCAAAGGAGGGCTACATATTGTGCTTAATGCTAAATGCTGTTGCAAATGGTTGCCATTTATGCAATCTGCGAGTCCGAACCCCACTTCAACATTCCCGCCCCCTTTTAATCTCGCTGCTGATCTTCGCGCTACGCGTTTTGCATGCCTGCTCTTCTCCGGAATGCGTTTAATTCGAATTTGAATTTCATCGCTTGTGCGAGATGCACTGATAAAAATAACGTAGACTTTAGTACAAAAGGGACCAATTTTCGCATAAATAGGGGCCATATATAGATTATGTATGTAGCACACTAATGTGTGGGTACCTAAAATAAATTATGAAAAAATAATATTGCATATTAATTAAGCTAAAAATGCTTTGCTACTATTATTTATATACACTTAACATTACTTACACTTGCAATTAACATTAATTAACTTGATAAAAATGTAACAATTGGTGTGAAAAAATTGAAAGTGGCTTATTTATTTAATTTGTAAGTCACAGTTCTCACACATTTTTAAGTAGTTATAATATAATTATTATTTAATTTATAAAAAAGAACTAATATTTTCCCTCTGTGTCTGTTTATTCTTCTCTGCGAGGCTGCTGGTGTTTTGCTTTCGCTTGTTTTTACAACGCAAAACACTTGTACGCCTGCCTCCAAGTCGTTGGGAAGAAATCAAAGCTCGCAACTTTAATTAATATTCCACACACTGCCCCACACACAGAAACCCAAACACACACATTCCATCGCACAATGTTGTTTTTGTGCTCACCAGTAATTGTTGTTGCACACATAGATTTATTTTATTGCATTTCACTGCTTTTATTTCTTGGTCATTTTGTGTTTTGGTACCGATCGCATAAGTTATTGTATCGGGATTTGTTGGCTTGGCACACGACTCGTTCGGGAATAAACTTGGCTTTTTATGGAGAGCAATCCGTGAGGTAATCCGTCATATCGGTGTGAATTCTGTACAAAACGTGAATAAATTTGGGTTATTTTCGGAAGGAATTTATGCAAAATCAATTGAGATTTTTACGATTTTATGTGACTTGAAAAATAAGATTTCAACGTATTTTTGAAAGGGATGGTTTCTAATTTTTTTAAATTTTTGAAAGTTGATTTCAGATATTTTGTGCAAATGAAAAGTGTGAAATTAATGTGTGCCATTGGTTTTTCTTATTAAATCTTATCAAATTTTTGTTTGTGTGCTTACATATATATACCATTTATTAAATATATTTATAAGCATAAATAAAAGTGGAACTTTAAGACATTTTATTTGAGCAAACTTGTTGTACTATAATTTTTACAATTCAATGGTAAATGGAGTACCCTAGACAGCTACTTGGATCACGATCGTTATTCTCAATAACCGTATCTATTTATCAGCCTTAAATTCCGAGCATTCCCCCAAATAAAGCACCTGGCTTTCTCTGTGCCAAATTCTTAGCCCGCTTATCATTGGCCCGTTCGTTTGCATTGCTCGTGTATGCCATCAGTTTGATTTCCTCGCAAGCAAATGTCATTAATTTGACTACACGCCAGCACCTGAGAAACCCATGCCAAACCAGGCCCAGATGTTTCGAATGAGGCTATAGATAAAAATCGGCAAAGGGGCAGGCTAAATAATTGCGGTCTTTTAAATGCAAATGCAACAGGTTGCGAGCGATGTGCCGACGACAGACTTCTGACAAATGAAAACAATTGAACTAAATTTTAATTGTTGGCCATATTCATTTGTGGCCGTTGAGTCTATGTAAATTCATTAATTTAACGATCTCATCGAGGTCTTTATGCGCTTGTCAACCACTTTGTATTTATGTGCTGTAAGTGGCCAAAAAGCGAGGCTCGTAAAACGTGCGTGCCAGCGCCACTCAGTCGGTGGTTTCGACGGTTTCGGTGAGGCTCCTGCTTTCAACTGGTGGTGCACCCACATATCGCATATTTTTTTGGCACAAATTCGAACGCATGGCTGATCGAGATAAGCGGAAAACCGAATAAAACAAAAACACCGACGACACAAATGCTAAAAATGAAGAGGGGAAAAAAAGCGCATTTAAAATTGCGAACATGAGAAATGTCAGAGTGAAATCCATCAAAATGTCAAACAGCAGACAAGATTCCTGAGAATTTCGTATATACAGCACGTTTCAGAAAATTAAGGCAGGGAAAGTTTAAAGTACAGATTTTAAGGTGGTGAGATCTCATCAACAAATCATTCAATTTGTTTTTCATCAGGCAAAAAAATTGCGTTCAAAAGGCTAACCTGTGAAAGCGATATAAAAAATTGGATGTTGAATATTTGTGGTATTAAAAATTTTTTTTGAAAACATTCTTTTTATTTTTAATAAATTATTGCTTATCGATGATTCAAGTGTGCGGACTAGCAATTAACCTTTTAAGATATTCGACTCATAATGTACATATTACCATAGCCACGATGATTAATATTAATTTTAGCAAAATGAGTTCTCCGTATCCAAACATATTTTCCTGTTAAAATGCAATGGTTGCGTGGGTGGATTGAAAATGTTTTTGGCGTACAACATTGCGTATGCGTGTTGGCTTTTTTCTCTTTTCTCTATTTTCCCTCTCATTCCGCGTCAGCTGTTTGCTGTGCTACATTTTTCGACAGCTGCTCTCGCTGTCTTTAGTTTGCTCCAATTTTTTTTTAAATATATATTTAAACATATGCAATGTGAAGAATGTACTCTTTTTTTATAAATAAACCAGCAAGAACTCTGAGTGCCTTCCCGCTTTTTTTATTTGTCGTCTCTCTTCTTGCGCTCTTTACTATTTTTCGTTACTCTTTCGTAGCTTTCTCTCTCTCTTTCCTAATTGAAATTTTTTGTTTTGGTCGTCCAACAAACTATTTTAATTGTTTACAAACGATCCTATTGTTGTTGCGCACATAAATTGCCTTCTCTTCAACGCTGACGTATTCCTTTGGCCGGGGCATATTTATTATAAATTTTATTGGCATCGCTTCCACGCTCGACGGCCAGCGATTTCAATTTTTGAATAACTTAATTTTTTTTCGTTTCTTCATTGGCCGTTTGACAAATTCGAAAAGCGAAAAGCGCGCTGCGAACGCTTCAATTGATTTATTCGATTGTATTCCGTATCGTGTGGCGCTCAATTGCAAAACTTTGGCCGACGCGTCGCAAACGATCTTGTAAATTGCCCGCTCGTCCATCGTCAATCTTCTGAATCGCCGATCGTTCCATTTGCTGTGTTTTTCTCCGTGTGTAAGTGCAGTTTTCGATGCGAATAATACGTGCTCGATTCAACAAATAAATTTGATAAGCTATTAAAAATAAAACATAAAACTGGAATTGTGTTAAATGGAAATCCGAAAAAAAATTAGCCACCCATTAATATTATAAAGTTATCAATGACTTCACTTATTATTTTAAAAAAAGACAAGTTTGAATATTTATTCATATCTTATGAGCTTATAAAAACTTGTGTAAAAAGGTAAAACATAAAAAACTTGTATTTCTATTTTAATTTTCTGTTAGTTTTTGGATTAACACTATTTATCAGTTTTTGGATTAACACTAGTTATCGGTTTATATTATAAAATTGTACCATTTAATTTAGCATTAATGTATCTTTTAATAGGGTATACAAAACTTTCTGTGCAATGATTAATTCCTAGAATTTTTAGATCCATTTCCCCTTAATAATAAAATTCAATAGAATTTGTT